TGTAGTTGATCCTCACTGAAAAATTCAACCTTCTACGTTCAGTTTTTACAGGTTTAGTTGTTGAAATGTGAATTCAGTTTGCGAGCCGTCGAGTTTTATCGTCTCTTAGCGCGTATAACTACTAAAACTAAGAGATGACTGTTTTAGTTTGTTTAAATGAAGCTGTGAGAAACATAAACGGTTTACGTCTGAACTTTTTCTGACTGTTGTGTTTGTTCAGGAGCTTGATGCTGTTTTCTAGAACCTGCCGCCCTGAGAAGCTCCACGTTCCTTCAGCTCTCTGACTGGCACATCAATGGCCGCCGTACCTTTCTCTTATGAGGCGACAGGCCAAGTTCTTTTGTGCTTTTCTGACAGCTCGTCTTCTTTCGTGGTCTTGAATCAGGCGACAGGTTGTCTTCTCCCGGAGTCTTGTACCTGTCAGGGCAGGAGGAGGCGAGACGAGCAGCCAGAGCTCTACGACCGCCGTCTGGTCATTTGATTTTACCGAAGCGCTCCTGGTTACGTTTTTCTGTTGTTTCTAGCGTTGCTGTGATGCTGCTGAGGCTCCAGTTTGTGTAAAGCCCTTGTTAGATAGACGCTGACTCCTTTGTGTGTGGACGTGCAGCGAGAAATCCTGAACGCGGCAGCAACCGAGTCTCAGAGGTCTGACGCAAACTAAGGTAGTTAACAGTCTTTCTCTCTGTGGATCGTCTATTTACAGTAATTTGTGCCACATTTCCAGACCTCCCGAGGCTTGTGTGACTGATTACCTTCCTCTGAAAGCTGCACACACACACACACAGACACGCTGTCACCCACACAAGATTGAACTTTTTAAAGTCTTCAAAAACTCCCCGTTTGATTTAGCAGCCGGAGTAGGTGTGTGTCCTCCAGTCCGTGGTGCAGCACACGGCTTTGATCATCGCTGCACAAATCACAGACTCCTGATGAAAACCACGCTGCCTCCGCCGACGTTTAGGACATTTAAAAGCCTTTAAAGGGATGATGTCAATATGAGTCCAGCTATGAAAAAAAAATCAGTTTGCAACCAATACGTCGGATATTAAATGAATCTAGAAACAATTATAAAATGCTGTTTTGTTGCTGCACAAAGCCCAGAGGTCTTTGCTTTTACCAGGCTGGTATTTTTCCATTCCACTCTGCTCTGAGCAATCTTAAGAGTGCATCTTTTTCTTTTTTTTTATAGTAAACAATGAGAAAAGGAAGCCAAGGTTTTGAGAAAGACGTCCCCAGTGAGCACTCAACCTCACATCTCTGACACCGAAGCAGGAATAAAACGTCTCTCTGTGGCTCCAGTATTTCTTCAGTGTGTTTGTTTCAGAGGTTTGGAAACTTGTTGCCAAAATCAACTTCAGCTTTCTGCAAATCTAACTTTTGCTTGTTGTTCAAACTTTTCCAGCGACTTAAAGCATCGTCGTGCAAATTCTGGCTGAAGTAGTGAAACAAAATTCATTTAAGAATGATCTACACCTGCAGCCCTGTCTGTAGTCACCTTTTGGGAGCGTTTAAGTCAGCTCCTCCTGCTCTGGCAGCCTGCAGTCATAGTTTTACCCATTTTCTGCCACAGAACTTCCTCCTACGCTATCTGTGCAGGAAAAAGATGTGTTAACCTGAAGCTAATTATTTGATTCTTTAAAAACCCCAAATCCAGTCTTAAAAATGATGCTGGGTTTTTGGAAATAGGTGCAACTAGGCTTTAAAATGTCGCCCGAGATGACCACACGTTGGAAGACACTCAGCAAACAAGACGTTTTTTTCTGCTTAGAAGTCGAGTGAGCTTCTCCTCCAAAGTCAGCTTCCCTAATGGGATGTTTAGCTCGCAGCCACACTCAACAACACAACACGTACGAGCAGTAAACACAGATTAAGTCGAGGCAGAAACAATGCAAAAGAGATTCAAGGCTCCGAACGAAAACAGAGAATTAAAGTAACATGGGCTCCGTGGCGAGAGTGTACGTCTATTCTACAGAAGGCCATAAATCATGCATGATCGCCTTTGTTCTCCTCTCGGCGGCTGATGCTAACTGACGTGCACTTCTGTATCATAAACAGTAGCTCTGTCTGGTGGGAGCCGATTGTGTGAAAGCAGCTTAGGAAGATGAAGCCGGTCGCTGGGAGGGTGAAATCGCGATTCCATACAGCGCGACGACGGCTTCTTTGAGCGGAGACGTCTGCTTCAGAGCAAACAAGGCGTGATAGCGCCGCTGGATTCGCCGCAGAATAACTTTCTGTACGTCTGCACGCGGAGGCTTCTTTAAATTTTAACCGCTGCTTCGAATCGAGGCTGGGTGTCGGCGCGGGGAGGCTTCCCACACACATGTTGGAGCCCATATTTATATTCTGAATGTTTTGCTGAGCAGGAGCTGCTGCTTCAGTGTCTCGTCTGACGGGAACGCCGGCTCTGGTTTCTGGAGCAGGATTTGACATTTCTGTTACAGAACGATCCGTCTCGAATCAAGGGCAGATCACCTTGACTTTATTTGTGTCTGCAGCGTTCTGTGCTGCTATTTGGAGTGATTTAATGAAGAAGAAGGTTGTCTCAGATTCATTGACTCTTATCTGAAGGCAGCACAGTTGGTCTCAGAGTGACACTGCCGTGGTAGTTATTGTCTGTTTTTAAAGCACATTCATGTCATTGTGCCTAAATAATTCAGTCAGGTGTTCTGTTACAGCTACTTTGCCTCCCTTATGGATGTAACTTAGCGTAACAACTGCATCCACACTCCTGGGTTTCTTTGCCATCAGCATGAATCAGTTCTCATGCTGTCCATCACACTCATGTTTGGAGTTTTTCCTGTTTTCAAAGAGGTTTTAGCTGCCGAAGAAGGAAAAATTAAGTAAATGATATGAAGTCCAAGCTTCATCCATCCATCATCTATCACAGGGCTACACTTAGAGACAGACAACCAAGCACACTCACATTCACACCTACGGACAATTTAGAATCACCAATTAACCTCAACATGTTTCTGGACTGTGGGAGGAAGCCGGAGAACCCGGAGAGAACCCACGCTGCACGGGGAGAACATGGAGACAGAAAGATCCCGGGTGTCCGAACCGGCGACCTTCTAGCTGCGAGGCGACGGTGCTACCTCTTCTCAAGCTTCATGTACAGTTTTATTTTAAAGAGAAAAGCGCATATTTCTGTCCTATGAGGCAGCACAGGCTCAAAACTTCACTGAACCAATTATATTCTCACCTTCCTCAAAACTTATCCAGGTTACTGAAACCAAGATATGATGTTTACATCTGCAACACATAACCAGGATCATTATTATTTACTTGTTTCTTTAATTCTACTGGAGAAACACACATAAGGTAGCAGCGCTGGGATTATTCTGAGTTTAGTGCTCATGCAAACAGCCAGAAGGGATCACATGTTGTTGGGCTGCATCTCATCTCAGACCAAAGTTAAAAAGACAAAAACATTCTTAAACATTTTTCCTCGACCTTGATGGAAAACACGGCGAGGAGAATTCCCGAGGACACGAGAAAAGACGCTCGTGGTGCTGCTATCCCAGCGGTGGACGCTGTTATCTGCGGCGCGACGCTGAAAGAGATAAGAAGCGTTGAAGCACCTTTCCTTAACATTTACACAACTCCACCAGATCCTATCGAGGCTGCTGCTTAGACACTGCTGGCTCGTTTCACTTTTATATTGACAGGGTTTTAGGTGCCAAACTTTAACCCTGAACTTGATGGTCTTTCACATGATGTAAAGAAACGTCTCCTGGTTATTAAATTGGTGGAGCACAGTGAGGGGAGCGTCTACCTGCAGCTACACTTTGGCCTTTGGCAGCTTGTTTATACTCTTGCCTGGCCGGCTGCTTACGTATTGTTGGACGTACCTGGCATCGGGACGTACTGTAAAGTTTGGGAATACAGATTTTGGAATATCGTGTTCTCACCACAAGTGCACACTCAGCAAGCAGACAAATCCTCCTCTTACTTTGCGATAATGCTAATTACCTTCTGTAATTGACTGTCCTATCTCTCATCTGTGCCTCCTCCAAAACGCCCGGCTGCTGCTGCTGCTGCTGCTCACTTGGACGGCGACTGCTGTCACATTTGGGATTTCCTGTGTTTGTTAGTCATGTTTTATCAGCTGCCGGATGTGTCAAATTATTTCATCGGCGCTGATTCGAGGCGACGTCTCATTCATGTCGACGCTGAATGGCCACTTACGATCGCACGGTTTGATTTGTTTTGATGGCGTCGGAGGTTTGATGGTGACAGAGGCCAACGCTTCCTTCCCCTTTCTTCGAGCCCTTTTTGCTTTTTTCCTTCTTCCTCAAATCACACAACCTCCCTCCTTCCTGCCTGCATTCCTCCTCCCTCTAAATGTCATCCCTCTTTCCCTCCTCCTCCCAGTCTTGTTCTCCTTTCTCTCCCTAATGCCACAATCCCTTTTTGTCTCCTCTCATACCTCCCTGCCCTAATCCCTCCCTCTCTCCCCTCCTCTATCTTCCTCCCTCTTCTCTCCCCTCCTAATTAAGCGCTCCTCTCTGTTGCCCCTCCAAATCTGCTCACTCGTTTTCTCCCTAATCCCTCATTCATTTTTTTTTTTTTACCCTCCCTCCCTCCTTCCTCCCTTCCTTCCTCGCTCCTTGTTCTCCCTGACAACACACTGCGTTATGTAATCTACGTCTCTGGGTATTAGTTATGCAAATTCATACATTTTTATTTATGTGTGTTTTCTCTCTCTCGTCTCCTCCCTCCATCCCTTCTCCTCCTCGATCCTGCTGCTTTCTGCACCTCTTTTCCTCCCCATCTATCTTGCTCCTCTCATCTTTTTTCCTTTTGTGCCTTTCATCCTTCTACCCATCCACCTTCACCCATCCCTCTCTCCTTTTTATATTTTTTCCCACCTCACTCTCAATAATCTTATTTCCCTCCTTATTTCACTTCCTCCCTGCCCTCTCTCTCCCTCTCTCTCTCTCTCCCTCTCCCATCCATCACTTCCCCTCCCTCCCTCTTTCCTCTCCCTCTTCCTCCAGCCACCAGCGGTCTCGAGGCAGAGAGCGGCAGGCGAGGCGGCAGCAGCAGCAGCAGCCACGGCGATGGCAACCACAGCAGCAGCGGCGGCGGCGGCGGCGGCGGCAGCAGCAGCAGCGGCGGCGCGGCCCACTTCAGGTCTCCATGGCAACAGAGCGTGAACGTGTTCGGCTCGTGGAGCAGGCCGGAGTGTGTCGAGGAGCTGCACCAGCAGGCGCAGCTCAACCTCCAGAGCCTGCTGCAAGGTAAGGAAAGGATGGAGAGGATGGATGGACGGATGGATGGATGGCTGCAGGGAGTGTGTGTGTGTCTGTGTGTGTGTGTGTGTGTGGGCGAGAGTGTGTGCTGTGTTTTGAGTGGGTGGGAAAGGCGTGGAGGCAGGAGCGGAGGCGGGTGGGAAAGTGTTTACACGCGTGTGTGGCGTTGGACTGCGCTGATATGGGTGTGTGTGTGTGTGTGTGTTAGATCCCCCCTTTTTTGCGTTGTGTTTATATTGTAGTGTGGGTGTGTGTGTGTGTGTGTGTGTTGGCTCACAGGAGCGCCGCCGGTGATGTGTGTTGGATTCACCTTGCAGGGTTGTTGTTTAAGGTAGTGTTGTGCGATTTTGACGTGTTGGGAGGACGAGCCCTGTTGATACGTGAGGATGGGTGTGTTTCTGCAGTGCGTGTGTGTCCACAGGAGGCATGTTTACATCTTAGTTAGCAGCCAGTGTTTGCAACTCTGCCTTGTTTCTGTTTCTTAAGGTGGAATGCTGCCGTTTTGATGTGTTGTTTACGGGAGGCGCTGCTCTGTATGTGTGTGTTCAACCTGTGTGTGTGTGTGTGTGTGTGTGTGTGTGTGTGTGTGTATGCAAATTAGCACTCAAGCCAACCAGGGTTTCCATTTGTTCTCAGGTATATTTTCTCTTCGGTTTCCTTCCTGCCAGTTGCTTCCCTCTCTCTCTCCCTCTCTCTCTCTCTCTCTCTCTGTGCTGTGTGACTCATGCTGTCTCGCCCTTTGCCCGTCCCTTCCATTAAAACAATTACAGCTGAATGAACAACGGGGGCTGAATGGCAGCGTGACAACCTTGAACACCTGGGAGAAGGAGTGAATGAGCGAGTGAATCTCTGCACGGTTCATGTGTCGGCATGATGACGGTTTTGGAGCTTCATTTAATTCAGATGTTTGTTTCCTTGCCGACAGATGCATCCATCCACCTCTTTGACTTTGACCTTGCTGTCTCTGACATCTGGCCTCTGCTGAGTTTGTTCAGACTGAAGAAACAAAGCTTTAAAAACATGTGCCCATCTCTGCACGCTTACAGCTCATGTTGTGCTCCATTAGGATGTGTTTACATGCTGTAATGGTCAAATAAGCACATTATTTTAGCTCCTGTCTCTTTGAGGTCCCCAAACTCTGCTCTGATTGGTCAGCTGGCCCCAGTAAAGTGAGGCCCCATTGGTGAACATACTGTAACCCCAGATGTCTGAGTATAAGGATGTTGTTAGCAGAAGCTGCGCTAGCGAGAAGATAATTCTGGACTTTGTTTGAGGGCCAAACTAGCTGTTATGCAAATGTGCCACATGATGATGTCGACAGGAAGCAGAAGAACAGCCTGGACTTCAGACGAGGTGTTTAAACTTTTCTTCTACGTGCACAAAACTGCAGCTACATTACACAGTACAGGAAAAGCATAATGTGGGGGCTTTAACTTTTAAAATGGCTGATAAGTCCTCAAACAGCTCGTTAGTATGTGCAGGGGACTATTTTCTGTTGTGGATGGAGACACATTTGGTGCTCCGGTGATCTTGTTCCCAGTGCAGTGGAGGAGGAGGAGGAGGACCCCGAAGCAGGGATTGGTGGGGCTGAAAGGGCCCGATTAAGTGCTATTTTGAGCTAATCAGCTAATGATTTGTTTTCCTTTGGTGGGTATGAGCTCGGATGAAACAGCAGCTGTGTGAAGTGACGAAACGTGAGACAACAATACGTTTAGCAGATGATATCCGCATTTATTTTACTTTATTTAACCAGAAAAGAATCTCTTTCAACAACTTAAATGAGGTTTACATGAAGGTTAAGAGCTTAAAAATCATAAAAAATACACCTCACAAGTCATCAATGACGCTGATGAAGCAGGTTCAATGTGAATCAGTCGTAACTAGTCAACCTGAATTTGTCTCCAAGTCACAGGAAGTTGCTTTGACATCATTTAGTGAGATCAGACGTTTAGGATCCAGGCTTTAATGCCAGTTTCCCCAATTTAGGTTCTGGAACCAGATGACAGGAATAAATCTTTGGAGCAAACACAGCAACCAATAAATCAGCGACTCTAAAAATCTGCATCAGGCATGAAAAACACAAACAGGTTGACCACGAGTAAAAATACGAGCACGCATTGTGGAAAATGATATCAGAGCTGCGATGATAATTAGAATAATCAACCAACTGATTAAACTATTTTTGATATTTGCAGTTTTAGCACATTTTCAAGGAGAAAACTGTCTAAATTCTCTGATTCCAGCTCCCTAAATGTGAATATTTTCTGGTTTCTTTCCTCCTCTACGACCAAAACAAGACATCTGAGAAACACTGGTCGACATTTTTCACCGTTTTCTTACATTTTATGGACGAAACAACACATTTGTTCATCCAGAAAATCACTGACAACATTAATCGACAGTGAAAGCAGCTGCTCAGTGCGTCGCTTTTGCGCGTAAGTTTCTTATGAAGTGACAGAATGTGTGTTCCTGCTTCTCCCAGAGTGTGTGGACAAAACGCTGCTTTATATTTAGAGAATGGTCGAGGATCTGTGAGGGATTGTCTCCCAACATAAAGCCGTGTGCAGATATCAGGCCAACGTCTCAAAAAAGAAACTCAAAAAAAAAAAGGCAGATCGGCTCAATTAGCGAGTTTCACGTTGTGCTTTGAAGCAACGTCTGGTATTTTTAGAAGATGGCAGCCTCGCAAGTGGTCAATCATGTTTTATTCTATTCTTTAACTGTGAATCATCCCCAAAGCTTGAAAACAATGGAGGCTTTAATTTTTTTTTTTGGCCAGCAGACCGACATTTAATTTAAATTTAAGCTCTGAGGCAGAGATGCTTTGGCTGCTCAAGCAGAAGTTGTTAGCAGGATCAGGCCGCTGATTTCTGCTTTTGATGTTTTCCATGGGATTTATTAGAGAGAAAAAAAAAAACTCTTAAACCTCTCGAGCTTCGTCCTTTAAATTCTTCATTGACAAAACTCTTGAGGTGTTTGTGTGCAGCGCCCACCGTCCGGCGCGTCGCCTCCTACGTCTTCCTCTCCACGTTTATGTGTGTATTAGGCCGGTTATTGTCTCGGACGTTCTGGCATCTTGTGTATGATGAAAATAAGATGGATGAACACGGTCGTGGGTGGACAACAGCTCTGGGAGAGTGTGTGAAGATGTGTGCGAGGCCATTCATCTTTTTCCTGTCGTCTCTGCTCATTTATGCCGCTTTGTGTTTACGTGTTCATCGCTGTGTGTGTGTGTGTGTGTGTGTGTGTCCTTGGTTTCAGTTTGTACACTAGTGTCCTGTGCTTTGTGTTGTGTGTGTGTGTGTGTCCATCTGTTTGGGTGTGTGTTATATAACAGTGAAGCTGTACTCCCCTTCCCTCTCTCTCTCTCTCTCTCTCTCTCTGGCCATCCTCAGCACCAGTCTCCCACTGGCCTCGGCTCGGTAAAATATTCATACTCTTCCCGCTCCTCAACACTCTGCCCTCCATATTTATGAAGCTGGCTGTCGTCCTCCGGTGTTAGGCTGCGTTTTCTGCCGAGATTCGGCTCCCCGCGGCAGGAAGATTTATGCGAGATTTATTTCACTGTTGCTGCTAAGTGGGCAACAGTGATCCCTCTCATCATCAACACCCCGACACAGGATGATTAGCATACCGGGTTTTCATGCGATCAGCTGCTCTGTGTCGCTTTCATTCCTGATTGGATTTGTCATGTGTGCAAATTTACTTTAATGACTAAATTGGATTTAATATGGAAATCTGTTATAATTAGTAAGTGGGTGTTTTTTTTTTTTTTTTTGTGCTCTTAAGTGAAAGTCCTCAGAACTAAACGGCAAAATATGGTGTTTGTTCTTGGACGGCAATTAGCCTTTTCTGTTAGCGTCTTTCAGGAAGGATTGCTGATGTTTCTGCACGAAAATAGGAAAATATTGATCCTGATATGGGTTCAAAACAAAGGACAGAAGAAGTGTTTGGTTTTTTAACTCCTCTCTTCAGGCGGCCCAAACTTTTGTGCATGTTCTGACTGCAATTGCGGCGGCTGTAGAACCTTTTTTTTTTAAAACATTTTTTTGTTTGGGCTTTTTAGCCTTTATTGGACGTGAGATGGGAGAAGGACCTGCAGTAAATGGTCATGGGCCAGACTAGAACCCATGACCTCTGCATCGGAGTTGCCCACACAACCTGTTGAGCTATCTGAGCGCCCCGTAGAACCTTTCTGCTGGACCCCAGCCCGTTTGGTTTAGGTGACAGGTATTGTTTTTTTTTTTACTTTTGAAGATTTTTAGTTTAATATAAAAAGTGGGACATTTGTCATGTGAAAATACTTCAACTTATCTGAAAACATTAGTCCATAATGAATACCAACAAATATTTTGCACATATTCTTTTTTGGGCTGCAAGGTGTCTCGGTGGTTCGCATCATCACCTCGCAGCTCGGAGGTCGCCGGCTTGAGTCCCGGTGAGGACACCCGGGATCTTTCTGCGTGGAGTCTCCATGTTCTCCCCGTGCAGCGTGGGTTCTCTCCGGGTTCTCCGGCTTCCTCCCACAGTCCAGAAACATGCTGAGGTTAATTGGTGATTGTAAATTGTCCGTAGGTGTGAATGTGAGTGTGCTTGGTTGTCTGTCTCTAAGTGTAGCCCTGTGATAGACTGGTTACCTGTCCAGGTGAACCTGCCTTCACCCTGAGTCAGCTGGGATAGACTCCAGCCCCCCACGACCCTAGTGAGGATTAAGCGGTGGATGGATGTCGTGCAAAAATACATCAACTTGTCAGAAAATGTTTTAAACATAGTATAAAAGTCTGTAATGAATACCAACAAATATTTTGCACATTTTCTTTCTTGGACCTCCTTCTTAGACCTTCTATGTATGGCAACGTGAAAGTCCTGAATAAGGTTAAGGCCGTATTTGGGGGAGAAAACGTACCTGCTGCAGGTAAGAAGCATCTGGACGCTGATTGGTTAAACTCAGAGAGGACAACGAGCGCCATTCCTCTGCCCTCACAATG